TGAAAATCCATCGACAGCCCACGACCGGTTTCGCCCTTCTTGGGGCTCATCAGGTAGGCGCAGTCCCCAAGTTTCCGTCAACCTTATGTTCTACTTGCAAATGAGTGTATATCCGGTAATTTCGTGCGATTTGGTTTCAAGTAGAATATAAGGTTGACGGAAACCCGGGGACTGCGCCTACCTGATGAGCTCCAAGAAGGGCGAAACCGGTCGTGGGCTGTCGATGGATTTCCAGCAACCTTATGAGTAGTACATTACAAATTTTCACAGAAAGTTGATTTGCTGAGCTGTAGCATACTTCGGCGCCAGGCTTACACTTTCCTATTAAGCACCGCGAAAATATTCACGTGCAGTTTGTTAACCAATCTAAACTTTAGCGACATGTATTTGACCTCGCTCGACGTTGTGGAGCGTTCTACGTATCTTGAAAGTTGTATTAGTTCCGATTGTAGTGTGACAGCTGCACGAATATGCAAGGCCCGGGTGGCGCTTGCTAATTTGAGACACCTATGTCGTCAGAGTGGTTTATCCCTGAATCTCAAGGAACGTGTGTATCAGGCCACAGTACGAGCTGCTTTGTTGTATGGCTGTGAGGCTTGGCCTATTCCAGTAGCGGAAATGAGATATCTTCAGGTGTTCGGAAATCGTTGTCTCAGGGCCATAGCTGCGTCGGAGAATCCCCAGTGAGGCAGTCAGAAAGCGAGTGTTCGGTTGTGCAACGGAATTACTCTGAAGAATATGTCCATCAACGGAAGCTGCGCTGGTTACGCCAAATATTGCGCATGCTGAGCCGTCGTTTGCTGGGCCCGATTCACAGTGGCGGAAGCAGAGAGATGGCCAACTCTTTACCTGGAAGAGTATTATGAAAGAGATTACGAAAATCTTGGGAGCTCTCGGTGCTACTCACCTTCCAGGATGAGGACCGCATGATCCTCACTGTGCCTGGTTGGAAACACTACACGATATGACTGCCAACCGATGTCAGTGCCGACCTTGTTGTCAGTTTCTACCCAGATTGCCAGAGTGGATGTCTGGTGGTGTAAGAGCCTCGGAATGATTGCAGTAAGCCAGCACTAAGTCCCTTCCCCGTCCACCTTTATTATTTTCCTTACAATAAAGCTTTCAAACGAATCATGGCTGTACGGCAGCGAAGCATCAGTGTTGAACGCAGATATCATGTTGTCGATAATGATGATGACAATGATGATAGCAACAAGATTGAAATAGGTTTACAATACTTCCAGGCATTTCAACATAGAGTTTTTCACTTTCAGGATGAAGCCGCAACTGAAAATCATCAAATATCTTCATGTTACGATAAGCCATTTCAAGGCCAAGCAAATCGGTCGATTCTTAGCTCAGTATGTCACAAGGGTGAAGATTTTTCACCCTGACAATGACTTAGTTGAGCTACGATAAATTTCCGAGACAAAACACACCTCTGTAACTCCTAAAAACCCACTTTCCTCGCTAGCCAATTTCAAATTCATTGTATGGATTCAGATGTACGTATAGACCACGCTAGCCTAACGGCGATGTTGGAAACACTCATCACAGACCATCTTCCACAGCGTCCTTTGGCGTCCAAAGTAAGATTTCATATCGCAAAATGTGTATTGTTGGCTATTTCAAATAAGTATGAAACTGCTGCACTGCAATTCTCAGCTTTTCAGTAATGCCCCAATTGTTTTCATAAAGGAAACTACTGCGCTATCTCGAATATCGTACCAACTGAAACATGAGGCGGACTTTGTGCAACCCATCCAGTTGAAGGCTAGCATACACGAGAAATTCATTCCAGTCTCTCGTGAAAACTAAGTTGATTTGCAACTGAGTGTATTTATCAAAACCCTAATTATTAGTTTGCAATTTATGTCCCGGGTACGAAAATTGGACTGGTGGCTCACTTTCACTAATTTTCTACTGTCAAGTTTTCATTTTTTGCCTAGAATATCAGCTTTACGGGTTGGAAACTAAACAACTGGGCACCGAAGCGAAGTTATCCAGAATTAATGTTTTTCAGGAGTATGTCTCTAAATAGAATGTGCTTAACTCTTTATTGTGTTTATTCATGCACCTCCTGTTTCCACAGGTACGGCGGAATGTGGTCGACGTCGACCGTCACATTTCCCAGTACACTGAACTGATAAACGAACTGCACGAAGAAATCACCCGACTGAAAATGAATCTCAACACCGGCCAAACGGAAAAAGAACGTACGTAGCTAATTTAGTCGGAAGTTTTAAGTTCTTATTAAATGCATCACAGACATTTACGGTTTGTATCGTGTTTGATGATTGAAATGAACCATGACCGTGTCTACAGTAAGATTGGTCAAAGGAATCGGTAACCAATCCGTATAGTTGCGGCAAGGTTCTAGTGTGTTGTCATCAGATGGGCGGAGATAGTGATATTCCTCCCGTAAGTCTGTCTGTCTCGATGTCCTAGAAATTGGACACACCACGGTATATCTCACTGTTGCTCCCGTTGTCAAGGTTACCACAACAGAAGAGTCAGATTTATAAACATCTGCTTTGATGAGTGATGGCTTTCTCAATACGTTGAAATTATGCTGTCTGATGTTTATCTTCAATACTTCAGAGCTCTTCTGGCCAGAGACTCAAGCCTGCAATACATCATATCTGTACAGTACACGGAAGACAAAGCACTTAGGATATACGGGAAATAGGTATTTCGAAATCTCAATAAGTGTTTAACTGTTAGTGAAGTCATTTTATGCTAAAAAGTTGAGTTGCTCTTTTAGGCTATTTCATCTATGTCAGGAACAGTCACCATTGCTCGTCACACAAACATCTAATAGGGATCGAATCCACAAGTTAGTTTTTAAATAACATGCCATCTCCCCATGCGTGGCTCGTCAGTATGTGTAGCTACTAAAAGCCCAAAAGAAGCGCGTAAGAGCTCATAATCTACCAAATCCAATGTATTCTTGCTGTAATTTATAAGTTTTTTTAAAACAAATACGATCATTTCTCAAGATAGTGTTTAACTGTTATACAAAGACGAGAGGAAATGTCTTGGTGGAGATTAAGAAGAAAATAAAAGGTTATGTATTTTCAGTGCATAAGTTTTATGTCCTTAGAGGAAAGTACCAAAGAGAAAGCTCCCGCGCCGCTGAAAAGCATTAAAATGAATAAATCTGGGAATTAGGTCGAATTAAGGTATTGTTGGCGAGAGTGACTTAGCATTCTCCACTAACTATACTTCACATGCACTCAAAGTTGGCTAAGCAGTAAGCCATGGAAATGACTGCATGCGTGCCACTGCGGCAGGCTGCTTTCCACATACCACGGGGTTTCTACTCCCGTGCATGTAGGGAAGGTTTGCATCAAATCGGCTAACGTCTTCAAGAGCACAACAGAGAAGCTCTTTAAAAGTGCAAAATTATTTCAACTTCAAGTCAAAAGAGAAACGTGCTTCCGGTGAACAGGCGTGAGCTAACCCAAGCTTAAGGACCAGAGACGGGCGAGTAGATTAGTAACTATTTTGTTAGTGATTATAGATTCAGTCAGTAGACCCGATCATTTCGATAAGCAAAATCACAGAGGAAGATCACTAGTGTTTCAGTGGGTTTAGTGCACGGAAGCACTGAGTGCTAAAACGTCTTCTATCGATGAGGATGGAAATAAGTTACGAGACTTTGGTACGGTGGCGTGTCAGTTGGTCAGACAGTCTCAAGGCTAGTTTGTAAGGTCCATTTCGCCTCACTTCGCTTTATGCGGTACCATTATTGTGTGTTTTAGAACATGTCTGTTACGCCCTCAGAACACTGCTCGATTAACATGCGACTGAAGTATGGCCTTATAGGCATGATTCAGCTGACCGAAAGTGCAGTCTTTGACTAGCTGTGTTTTCGGAATCGTGTATTGTTTGGAAGCCCACAGATGTTGAGTAAACCGATTATTGGCGCACTAACTGGCATAAAATGGCAGAATCAGTCTCAAATCAACTGAATGCTGCGTTCGACCAGACGAATGTGCATCTCAAAGAATGTCATTTCAGATGGACGTTCACTCATGACTTCGCAAGCAACAGTAATTACAGGACCACTGTTAGCTGACACTGTGGAGGTCATTTTGACACCAGATTTTCTGCAACAGACACTTCAAATATCCATTCCCTGAAAATTTACCACGATTCATCAAGCACTACTAAAAATAAATCTCAGAGGGTTGCTGACTTGTGGGAAAATGTTCAAGAAAGTCAAATGAAACTGGACACTCAACATCTGTTCTCCACGAGCGCATGCTTTATTTCAGTAACCTTGACTTGTTTTCGACAAAATCTCTTCAGCCTGGAAAATATTAGGAGGAGGGACTAGTGGTCAGGAAGACCAGCATAAAGTGGACAAATTGACAAAAAGACGTGACTCTAGCAGACCTCTCACAGTATCTTCCGTGTATGTGATTGGAGGGGGAACAAATGCTAACATGTGGATCTGTCAAACCACGTCGTGTTTGGAGGATGCGCCACTGACATGAACGTTCAAGTACAGGCCAGTCCCCAAACACCTTTGGTGCTTGAACAAAACCCCATAACTTTGCAGTCCACTTCCGTAGAACTGGAAAATGAATAGTTTAGGATGGCAGTTCTGCTATGAAAATCCATAGAAGTCTTCAACCCCAGATTTTCTCAAAGAGGTGTTATGACAAAAGCGTCCCCAAGTACTACAAATCGTCATTTGGCATCGCCCCAGTCGGAAGAAGGAAGTTCGCCTTTTAAACAGTGCTGGGTACCTTGTGTACCTGTCATTAAAAATGACATTGATTTATGCTTTTTAATTCTACAAAACACAGAATTAGATTTTTATGAATGGTATAGGTGGTTAGCTTCATGCGGCAATTTGTAAACTTTCGAGTATTATGCGGGACCATCATTTACGCCAGTCTAAAGATTAAATTTGTAACGCCATCACCTTGCCACACTTAGGTCAAGGCTTCTGCGCCTGATTCACACCATCAGCCTTTGAGCTTTCAATGGACTCGGCATTCCGTTTGGCGTTACTCCAAAAAACAAGGCTACTCGTGATTCACTAGGAATCGTAAACTCACCCTGGAAGTGGCTACTCGATGAGTACCAATCTCCTCAATGTTGCTTAGTCAAGCTTTTCATTCCTCCAACGGTCTCAGATCGTGCAGACATACGCCTGTCATATACTCGTCTCTATTTTTCAGGTTTGATCACGAACCACCATCACCCTTAGTTTATCAAAGCTTGAGTAATGAATGTGTTTTGTTCTTTGGTTGACAACCTTCTCCCTAGTTTTAGAGAAGGTAGAGCGGAAATTTGAGTATAGCAGTAAATAAAATCAGCATATGAATCTGAGATATTAGTTCCGTTTTCTCAACCTGGTTTCCGTGTTGTGCATCAAGTAGACTTGTTCCAGAATGTCATCTTCGTATATGTTTCTAGCGTCAATGCTATTTCAGTGTTTCTTGCTTGATTTTACATTTTGACAGCGGACCCGCATACGCTGGAACTAAACCGGTTAAAAGATGAGCTCCTGGATGCTTGCCAAGTCCAACTGGACTTGCGGTGAGATTACAGTGTTGCATGTTACACTCACGTTCGAAAAGTGAACCTGATTGGTAGGAAACCTGACATACATTAGGTCATTCTTTTCCTTAACCTAAGCAGAATTTATTAGGAATAGTTGGCTTTGTTGTCACGTTCTGTCCAAAGTATTAAAATTGTGTTAGCACAAGAGTACACTCAGGACTATGTGTTCAGGTACAAGTGTGGAATCCTATTGATCTAGGATCTCTGTGCGCCCCATTTCATGCTAGTTTGGTCATTTACGGTCCGTTACACCTCCTGGTGGTAGACAGATCTGAGTTCATTTTTTCGGTGATCGTACCATAATACTTGTTTTTGCCAGTTTCACACTTGTTCTAAAGTCTTTTATGTGCCATTTATCAAGTCGACTCACAACTTTCAGGATGCTGTTGAAAGACCGGAACAGAAGTAAGCTGCTAAAATACCGGACAAAAAAGCAAGCGTTTCACTGGAATTTCGAGCACACCCGTAAGCATCGACCTCAATGGGTGGGTCGAACGCCTTGAACTAACATGAAACAACTACAAAGTCTTCATTTATCTACTGAAAATCTCCGACAAGCAATCATTTCAATACAGTAATGGAACAACACTCAGAAAAGGCCTGCTTGAAATTTAACAGTTTGACTGTGGTGGCCTGACTTACGTCCTTATGATCTACCTACATCAAATGAAAATGAAAAAGCTTCGCTTGGAATGAGAGATGATCTAAGGCTAATTTTCTAAAACAAGGAGGTAAGATGTATCCAGCTCTGCTGATGCGGGTACTACTCATCCGTTTGGCTGAGAACCACTTTAGCACACGTTCCAGAACAATGTTGCTGGCTGACTTTCGAAAAAGGGAAATTTTGATGTTCCTTGCACCAAGGTCTTAATAAAATTTCGGGTGCCTTCCCTGTGAATACGGCAAAGTTTTCGACTCTGATAAAAATACGATGCTGGTGCCAAGACTCCAAACCAAAGGGGCGATCCGTTATAGTACTGAATGTTTTTCGGAAGTAGCCAAGATACTGACGCAGGACAAAATCCAGGGTATGTCCATTGAATCTTCGTATGCATTGAGAAAACTGGCGTGTTACACTTACGAAACGATAAAACTGGGATTCGAGCTTTGACATCATGTACCAAAGTGAACGTTTTTCCTAGAGTCGGTGTTTAGCAATTTTCAGAATAAATAATTTTTTCATGACGCTTATGCAGAACTCAGTGAGAATAATTTTATTGGTACATAACAAGAGTCTTATATGAACCAGTTTCGAAGCTTATCAGAAAGATGCAGCTTGCAGTCTCCGAAGTTCAACAAACAGTTGACACCTGGAACTATTAACTAGAGATAACCATGTTTCCGGACCCACCGAATCTCACATGAGCACCCAGTTGGATTCGACCAATCATCGGTCACCAGTTTGTACATCCTTGATTCACGAGTTTGTACACCATTATACTATATTTCAATCCATAATACTTATGCACTCATCGGTCATTGTACATCCTTGATTCACGAGTTTGTCCAATACCATACTATATTTCACTCCATAAAACCCATGCACTGCGATTACCAAGCAAAGTACATGAGTGCGAATGTACCACTGATACTCCGCATAAGTCCACAGTGCTTATCAACAGCTTATATACTTGCCAGCTTCTTCATCAGCCATCGTGTTTCGATAAAGTTCAAAACATCATCTGATTGCATCCAAAATCCGCTAAGCCGTTTCATTCGGAAATAATGTTGAGGTACTTAATCTTAATGGGACAGCTGCTCGATAATACACGTGTAATCTATTCGCTGGCTTGAACGATACTACACAGTAAGTCTACCAAAAGTTATCATGAATTCAACATGCACTGAATTATCCAAATGTGTGTTCTCATCAGATCAGAACGCACAATGAACTTATCCTTCGGATGAATTCCATTATTGTCAGCCAAATCCTATCATGCACCTCTTTTCATATCATTTTTTCACCCGCATTTTTGTCCCCACTCAGACTTTTAATTATTTTTCAAACGGTTAGAAGCATTTTATCCGGCTACCCATTGATTCAACCGTTGCGTGTTTTGTAGCTTCCGTTGCCCTATTGCACACAAACTGATACACCTCACGCAGGTCTGGGTGCACCATGGGGGGTACTGTAAGGTGGAATGTGACATCGTTCGGAATACTCGTGTCCTGATCAGCTCCCGCTTGGTGAAATAAAAACCTTTAATCGGATTTTTGATCCCTCTTAAATGAGGAAGGAGTAAGGTGGATCATCTAGCTACCAACCTAATTTAAAGCATCCATGATATACCGTGGAGACGACTGTTAACCTGTGCATTGTCTCCAGAAAGTTTGGGAATCCCCATAGGCGTGAAGCAAAGCTGTGCACTTGTTATTTTCTGACATCAGTGGTAAAAGCGTTTTTAGGAACAAAGGTGCTGGTGTATAGATCAGAAATTGCCTTTTGGGAGTCTGTTCACGGTAATCGGATTCTGGTTCACCAGAACGAAGTTTGCAGTCATGTGGTGTTGCACACCTGTTTAGTGAACCCTGCGTGCTTCTGTCTCTTCTCTTGTATGGTACTAATCCTTCCGTATAGTACCCTTCATGTGAGCCGGCTTCACGCTGTGTAGCTTTTACCAGCTGAAATCGGAAAGTGGGAAAGTAGAGGATTCCCTTCGGAAGCTGGGTGGGTAAATGGTTGTGATTCTCAAAAGTCGCCCACGTCAGTTTGAACACGTTTGTTGAAAGGGGGAGAATTAACAAAATACACTCATTTGCACACAAATTTTGTTCCGCGGGAGACTCGCCCGGAACTCCGCTGAATCTTTCGTTTGTGAAGTTTCCATTTACTTAGTTACCTTTTGAAACATTTGGTTTACTGTCATTTGAATACCGAACAAAAGCGACTGTACATAGATATCATGGTCAAAGCGGATCACGATCAACTTGGATCCTATGGAATGTGAATACAAGACTAGAAGGCATAGAGCGAGATAACACATTCTTGTGTCAGTCAGCTATCGCTAGCTTAAGACTTAAATCTTGGAAGACCTAAGGGTGTTTTTGGAACTGTTGCGGTATGCAATAGTTGCTTTTAACTAAATGGCCACAAGCAAACGCCATGGTCGGTCGGCAAAACATATGAGAATATAGCTAGTTAACCGGATCAGCATCACCTAGGCGTATTGTAGAGCCGTAGCCGTGTTGTTGCTTGGAGTGTCATTCTGTGATCATCTTCTTATAGAGCAAAGGAGACCTAGCTAATGGTATGTCATCTGGAAGTGTCCCATGTTCAGCTTATTCGTAATGCAGTTTGCAGGCTCTGAATATTCCGATTTACAACGCTGCTATAAGTGGCCTCCGTAACAACCACTCTGAAGACCAAACTGAATGGCAGCCAGCCATATGGACCACTCCTACAGCTTCTCAAAATTGGCGCGCTTCACCTGACCAAGCTCCATCTGCTCACGTCCGATTCAGCAATTAAGGACAATCATATAGATTTAATAATGGTTCGGCATTATTCGCTTTTGCTCAGACTTTGATTTCTTTCTCTCGGGTTACTTCATGGCAGAGGCAGTTCAGATATGCCAACACAAGCAGTATTTGAAATTATCTGTCATTTTTGAGGATCCCCTATTGTAGTTTAATATAACTGGTAAACACGAAGGCTAATTCCTCTCCATTCCAAAGTCATTTCAAGTGTCTAGTCTATCCAATTTCAGATGCCAATATAACGCACCAGGCAATTCATCGGCGGGTAAATTTCAGGGGATTAGGTAGAACACACTTTTCAACTGTTCAAATCACAACTGTCAAAGAGTGACTGCTAAATAAAGCTTCCGAACAGTGGACGTCCAAGTAGTGCATTATGTGAAATAATGTGTACGCAACTAGACAAAATCTATCCCATAAATGTTGAGTCGATTGCTCAGTTTTCACAAGTGAACATTCATCTATGCTCTTTGGTGAGAACGCAGACATTTTTTCAGTCGATACCGTCCGTTGGACGAGGAATTAGCAAAGCCTGATATTCGAAAACCCATTTGCAATTCTTCTTGCCGCCAAAAAGGTATTTTCGTCGTATTTTCTAGACTGTGGTAAGACATTAGAAAAGAGATTTTGATAGCTAACCATTCGAAATATTTAGTCCCACAATGGCTGTAAAGGACCAGTCAATTGAGAATAGTATTTCAATCGTCAATTTATGTAGTCCAAAATCCAATTCAATCACGTTAGCTTCTACTTTCATTTTAATGGGCAGTTAATAGGTAACCTAATCCTCAGCTGAGTCGAGGTCAAAACCGATTAAGTGCTCCCTGGTGCATAAAAAGCTCGCCGAAAAAAGTACAATTCATAAAAGGAACCACTCACAAGGTTGCTGAAAACGCTTCGACAGCCCACGACCGGTTTCGCCCTCGTTGGGACTCATCAGGTAGTCCCCGAATTTCCGTCAACCTTATGTTCTACTTGAACGCCATTTGGACTGTTTTCGAGAAATGCACTCATTTGAAAATTAATTTGGTTTTAACGAGAGACTCAACTGAATCTCTGGTTGATGAGCTGATGAGTCCTAAGAAGGGTGAAACTGGTCGTGGGCTGTCGAAGAGTTTTCAGCAACCTTGTGAGTAGTTTCCTTTATGAAAATATACTGCGATATCTCAAATGTCATAACAAATGAAACATGAGGTGGCCTTTGTGCAACGCATTTATTTGAAGAACATCATAAGCCAGATATCCACCTGAGTCTCCCATGAAAACCGAATCGATTTGCAAATGGGTATATTTGTCACAATCTGTTCAATTCGGGTTCAAGTAAAACATAAGATTGACGGGAGCCCGGGGACTCCGCCCACATGATGAGCCCCAGGAAAGGCGAAACCGGTCATGGACTGCCGAAGTGTTTTCAGCAACCTTGTGACTAGCTTCTTTTATGGAAGTACAACTCACTGTCTTTGGGCTGCTGGGGAGGCAAACATCAAGGAAATCATTTTCGTCTTTCAGAAAAGGAGTTAATGTGAACCTTAATTTTCGCATACTATCTGGATGGACAGTATATGTTCCAAAAATATCTGACCCAACTGCTTTCGGATTGAATAGCAGCGCGCAGCGAACAAACCTACAGTCTAAAGTGAAAACCAAAACACGAGACGAGTAAACTGAATGCATCAAATCTTATCATCTCCCAGACCGTATACACTAACACTACGTTGCGCGTAGTAGGAGGTCAGAACTCATTAGCAGAGACAGTTACCGTCCACTTTCACTCCGCAGATTAACTACACAAAATTGTGAAGATAGGCTCTTTCACCGACATACACCTATATGTGTCCGGTAACTGTTTAACGACGCATCTTGTGAAATTTACTGTCCACACAAAGATTTTCGTAGAAAAGTACATGAAAACATCAACCCGAAACATTTCACAGCATTTTGTGAAACTGGTCCTCCTGTTGTGTTTTCTTCCCAATCAGTTGAGGGCGTCCACCACTTTTAACTTCCCTCTATCTTCCTCCCTGGGACGTCTATCACGCTTTTTCACAGAACAATAAGTTCTGTTGTGTCAGTTACCATTGGAAACGAGCCCAAAACAGTTTTCAGTTTGTTTCGCCCTTGCGAATTGCAGTCGCTTGGAATGCACTCAACTAGTAGTGGTGACAGTAGTGTTAGCTAGACGTATCGCTCGACTAAAATGTGCGTTTTTTTAGTTGAGGCGGACGTCCGACAAAGCAGGTACGCAAACTTTAAGAAACAGGAGGCGTGTTGTAGTTTGTTCTGAGCAAAGACTGCACCCACAGCTGGACTTTCAGCATCGGAGAAATTATTGAACGGATTATAGATTTATAAGGCAAGCTCATGAAGGACCATCAAGTGAAAAATGGGGCAGCTCACATCCACGAAAGATACCCTTGTCCTACAAGAGTCCCAAGGACAAGCAGAAAATTCGCCATGAAGACTTCTTCTTGCAGGTGAAGTCAGTCTATGTGGAAAAATCTAGAAGCATTGCACGGCCATTTCCGTCTCATTGGGAATCATCGACAGTTCACAAGGTTGATTCGGACTCGCAACCGTCCAGCCATGGGGATTAAAATGCTACAGGGTCGGGTAGTTAAATCCCACGTAGAGAGTGCGTCCTTTGGCACAGACCGAATTCACACACGGGACGATATATTAATTGAAAACACTTACACTGTCAACGAAATACTTGATCCCTTTTTGCAGTTTCAGTGTAGAGCGGTGTATGGTTCCCGTACTAAGTAAGTAATTCGGTCACACAACTTGCTACAATGAGAGCCTGTGTTGTGGTAGAGCATGGGTGAGTTGGGTTTGAACAGGCTCATGTACAGTAACATTCAACCCTAAATTTATAGCGTTTGAAGGGATTCTACAAAGCTTGAGAATTGATGACGGCGAATTACCTGCACAAATGAGAGCAAGAATCGAATTCGGCGCTTGATTGAGTGGTTCAGGTGCCATGCCACATTAGATGATATAACATGCTCATCCTCTCAGGGGGAGAATATTGATAGAACATATCACTTCTGATTAGATTTATGAAGCTTGTTTACATTACTGAATATTCGAGGATCACCTCTCAGCTCAGCTCCTCGAAGTTTATGAAAATTCATTCGCTCCGCTACACCTGCACTACTAGCCACTCGTTTCCCTGGCAGGTACGTGCTGTCAGTGAAAAACAGAGTTTTTGAACGTTGCAAATCAAAGAGTCAGTTTGAACGACTGTGGGGTTCATCTGATCTCAGATGTACAACACATTGTTCGGTTAGTGACAATCCAAACCGCTAAATTTTCTCATTTTCTCCGATCACAGTCAGATTTTTTCAATATCTTATGACCTCTGACACTAATTCAAACAAATTCTATTTAGACACGACGCACTATAGGACGGCCAACCGCGCCAGGCTGCAGGTTCTGTGGCCTTCTTCGTTGCACATGAATTTCACTCATTATGGCCCTAATTTACACATCGTCGGTTCCTTTGAAACCAGTCAAAGTCAGACCATTATTGTTCCTCCTACCTTACCGCATCAGAGGTCGTTAGATACAACCAGTTACTTGTTCCAACAACTGCATTTTCCACAACCAGACTTCCGCTTCTTATATCTCATACGTTGAGAAGGGCCTCAAAGAAGAACTCATTTTCCAATACTCACTCGACCTACCTCTGAATAAGGATGCTGAATGAGCAGGGCAATTGCTCTTTATTGCGATGTAACCCAAATACGGATAGCACCAAGTCCAGAAGGTAATGTAGATCTAAAGGCAAAATAAATTGAGGAGTTGACGATCAAGTATCATCCGTTTTGCTAGAGCTAACCAGATGATATTCAGATAGTTCCTGCGGCACAGAAAAAATCCACACCGCTTATGAAATAGGTTGCCTGATATATTGTAACGGAAATTGACACTTACATTTTATGACCAGTTCAGTTTGACTTCACAGATCCCAAGCGTAGCAAGTTTTAAATGCTGAATAAAAACTAAGCCAAACTTTGGTGGGATAAACTTATTGAAATAAGAAGTGTTTTCCAAATTCCAAGTGTTTTTACTCCGAACACTTCTAAGGCGCAGTGGGATCTCTGAAGACATTAGGCCTTACAAAAGATGCGTTTCTGAATTGACGGTTGACACCCCTTGTGAGATATCTTGGCTATGGGAAAAACCCCACTATTTTTGGATAAAAAAGTGAGAAGTCATCACTGCTTTGCTTTGAGACAAGCACTAAAATGTAATCTAGTGTTCAGTATAAGACGGCGAAGAATTCAAGTGACATGCAAAAAAGCAGTTGCATCCTGAATTTGTGTTGGTAGAGTTTTGGTAGGATAGACACTTCCCGTTATGAAAGCAAAGGTGCCGTAAATTGTTTAAGTTTGCAGCGCAACTGGCTGTTTTGAACTCGCGATGCCCCTAGTAGTAGACTGTTCTGCTAGGAAGGAATTTTCATCCTTGACACTGCTGTTTTTAGGTGGAAGGCATAGAAACCATTGAAAGAGTGGTCACGTATATGTGCTCTATGGNGAATTTTCATCCTTGACACTGCTGTTTTTAGGTGGAAGGCATAGAAACCATTGAAAGAGTGTTCACGTATATGTGCTCTATGGATCAGTTACCATTACATCGGTAGCAAAATCTTAGGCAACATTGTTCCCGAAAAAGCCGAATCAACATCTCTAAATCAAAGATCATTGATTTAACGCAAAGTTCTTTTAAGTGTGCATTCTATTTTACTTAAAATTGATGTCATCCTGACCATTCTCATCTATCCCTACACAATCTTCCCAGAACGATCCCTCTTGACGTGGCAGTTTGCAATCATTTTAGAGGGACTTCATCATATCATAGCTTACGTATTCACATGACTTCTGTATCCATATTGATCCATGGAACACCCATAATTCGGAGACGTTATGCTGCACTACATCGAAGAGATATGAGTCGCTCTCAGATCGGGATTGACCACAGAAAAGGTTCAGTGTTCACCAATGGCCATGAGTTACAAATTTGCGCCAGCTTTATCGATTGCAAGTTTAAGTGGCTATTGTGGCACGTGGAGGTTTTTACCCCGTAGGCTTTTCGCCCCTAAATATCTCCGTTTGATCAGCAATACACACCTAGCTGTGATGTCAGCAAATTTTCTGCATTTATTGTACTTGAAATTTTCCTGCAGGCGTCAGTTGGTTCGATTGAAAAATCGCCTGTTGGAATTGAATCTTGAGGAAACGCGATATAATGAGTGAGTGAATCTCTGTCTATCCTGATGTACGAAAAGATATCTATGCCCCACATATTTTCGTGTTTCCATGATACAGCCGAATTCTATCTTAGGGTAAGGCACTGTTCACTATTTGAACTCTGAGACATGAAACACAGTTTGCATTTTCGTACAGGTTGTTTTGACATGCTTCGTGTTGCGCGCTGCATCATCCGAACTAGTAAAACAATGAACCAGTACTGTAGTCGACCAGTAATCTTTCATATTCTAATCGGGGCACTTCACACAAGTGCGTTTTTAAGTCCGTTACTCTAGCTCAGCATATAATCATCTACCAAAATATCACATTCTGTGTAACTGATATTGTGACGCTGAGTGAATGGTATGATATCATCAGTGTATAGTACCTTTAATCGATCACACTGGTCTATGAAACCATTATCACTTCACTTGACACCCTCCACCCCTGTTTTTGCTACATCCGGACAAACCGTGTTTTCCTTGGGTGTCATGTGGATGGACGTAAGTTTAACCGTGCGTTTAAAGGCAGAAATCAACACCTGAGATCTCTAAGTCCATCGTCCCTATGACAACGCTTGTAACAACTTATGGGACCAATCCCACGAAAATGAATTGCTGAAGAGTCCAAAACAAGCATCAGTGGTTTGTATTTTCACTCAAACAAAAAATCGATGTTCCCTTTGACGGTCTGAAACATTTCCCGTTTATTGTTTGGTGTAGATAGCGTAATACTTAAGCATACAACTAAAGGCCATTTGAAAACAGGCAGTTGCTTTGAAAAAAACCTCAGAGGACATTTCAGACGTACCCGGAAAATCAAGGAGTAGGTAAAATCAAGTATTACTCAGTACAGAGCAGTTTGATATTTTCAGCCATGTAATAGTCCCCGTGAGACAAATGAATAAACCAGCATGAGGGCAAGCGGGTTCACTACAACCTTCTAATAATTTATGGATAGAATTCCATTCTGTAGGTGAAAACAACCTGGGCGGAAGAACGTGAATATAGTGTAGGAATGTGTCACCCCATGTGAGGATCAGCAGCAGTGCGCCACCAGGTAGATCCGAGCACAGCACTTTTCGGTTTGTAGTTATCCCCAGAAATTTGACTACTGATGGCTGATCAGTAGCATGAAGAGCTCACACGTACACAAGGTATAGCACTACAGTTCTTTAGTTAAACACCGCAGATCAAATGGACTGCTCTGACTGGTATCACTAAAGACAGTCTCTGTGACTGTCTCACGTCTGGGCAGATTACATGTTGTTAGGAAATCCTCCACATCACCTCATCTCACGGTGGTGTTAGGAGTCCCTGCTGCCTCTTTATGCACCAAAGGTAGTTGATAATTGAGACTAAATGCACAGAGGCCCTAAACTTGAGGGTTACACCCACTGCATTGGTTAGGGACTTCGTTATGAAAGTCACCATATCAATGTGATTTGCCATATCCATTACTACATTGCTTAGGGCTTCAATCTACCGTTAAGCGCTATTAATCATCATAAACGAGAGATTCAGCTGGGTTCCAGATGAGTATCTCGCAAAATCAAATAAACTTGCACATGAGCGTATTTCGCGTAAGTTTCACACGCTAAAGTTTCCAGAGGACTCAAGTGAGGTGGTAATTACGTAATCTAGAGTAGCGCTAAGAATTAGACGCTTGGGTCCGTAAGGTCAGTTTTACGTGCTTTCCAAGTGTACTAGTCAGGTAGAGCTAATATTTACGTAATACCCGGTGGAACAATACAAACTTAAGCACTATGAGGCATTTCACGTCTGTGAACCGCGTGATTTACGCAAATTCAATGTGGAACCACGACAGATGTTTGTGCGAAGTGGAGAAGGCCTATGCCCGTCCGATGTGGAGTGCCTGGTAAACCCTCGTTAGTCGTAACATATCGCATTTAGAAAAGTAAAAAGAGTGTATTTCTCGAAAACAGTCCAATTTGGGTTCAACTAGAACATAAGGTTGACGGAAACTTGGGGACTGCGCCTACCTGATGAGCCCCAAGAAGGGCGAAACCGGTCGTGGGCTGTCGAGGAGTTTTTAACAACCTTGTGAGTAGTTTCCTTCATGAAAAAGTAAAATGATGCCCAAAAGTGTTTCTAAGTAAGCGTTTGATATGGATGATTTCGCACCCATACTTGGCGTGTGTGACTTCTGTCATATATGCACATCCTGAAATGTGGGTATGTGGACAAAATTATATCGAACACACGATTACCTTTATAGTGAATTATCGGCTGTTGGAGAAGTTTACTCATTATTGAAATTACGCACTCTGCGATGGAACGTATACCTTAGCTCATTTAAACCGAATCAGAAAGCGCTCCTACTGGTCAATTTTATGTTTATCACTGCTATTGTTTTAACTACCACCGTCAGTGACCAAAACCGTGTTATCTGTTATCAGATGATCCACGACTGGGTGTAAGATAGTTTAGTGGCTGAATTCAGAAGATCCCTAGTCCGAAATTCAGGGTCCGAATTCAATCTCCTTACTCCTTAGTTTTTCAGATCCCCATGATATAAATGATAGATATGCAGTAACGAGTTTGAAATTTTTAAACTCCTTTGAAATTTTGAAGTCCGAACAACACGGTTATACGCACATCTTCATTGTCAAAAATGAGCAGAAAAATGGTTTACAGCAGTGCTTCATTAACAAGGAGGTTTTTTCTCTCAGAGAGTCACGTATACCTTTTTGTCCACTCATCTATTTGAATAACAAAGTGGAAACACGGAAATTCTCACATGCAAGCACGTTCTGTCTTGCTGTTGGTACCGAGAACAATACCGGGGAAAGACAAGTTTTATATAAGCTTGCGAAATACACTCATTTGCATACCAAGTTGCATTTCATGATCTTTGTGTCATGAGAAACATCGTAAACGAGAGATTCAGTGGGGTTCGAGGTGGTTCTCGGGTGCATTTCGCTAACTTCGTGCAATTTGGGTTGAAGTAGAACATAAGGTCGACAGAAACTTGATGACTCTGCCTACCTGATGAGCCCCTAGAAAGGCAGAACCGGTTGTGTGCTGTCCATGGATTTTCAGCAACCTTGATTAGTGCAATGGGTTTTACAGAACCTTGCAAAACACCTTCACCACATGACCACAGATCGGATAGGTCAGTCGACAAACAAACACTTAAACTACTGCGTCACAATGTCCGTAGCAGCTTGGATGTTACATTTAGTTACCTTTGAAAACATAACAAATGCTTTGGTCGACTTATTGTGGTAGTCTTGAGGGACTTCAGAATAAGAGGATTTCGGTGACGAAGAAGGATTGGAAGTGCCAAGATGAGATGGCTTGATGATGGCTTGTAGTGAGCTGTCTGGTATTTGGTGGAGTTTTCCGTCCATAAGTCGATCCGATATTTTTGAAATAGAATGTTGGGCTCGAAAAGGCACTTAGTGTCTCATTGTGACAGTTAAAAACGTGTCAGTGATAGCCAGAGATATGGAGCGAATTCGTTTACTCTTATTATCATTAGGGCTTAATTGGATCTTGTTGTAACACAGGAAAAAGCCAATGAATCCCCGTCTTTTTTGTACATCATTATTACATGCCAAGCCCAGTGCCTATGGAAAACCAAAATGGTTGGTCAATACATTCGACTGTTCAAAATTATTTCGTTAGTGTACAAATGGCATGTAGTAAAAACTTCGTTTAAAGGAGCACGCGAGATTTCGAGGCCTAAGCGCCTTATCGGTGAATCAAAACTGTTGGCGATGTCTTAGGATCAAGATGGATATCTCCCACTGGAGGGTGAGGGTGGAAGGAAGAAGGCCTTCGCTGCGGAGTTATTTATTCGGAAATGCCAACTGACCGGTTACAGACCATTGAACAAGGAAGCAAAACTCTAATCTGCATCTTAGTTACAAAACCTGGACATAGATCTTCTCCCGAACGAGTCTTCCTGGTGATTCATTGCCTCCAATCATTCGTCGGTCAAATCCAAGCAAATGTTACAAAGTGGCCCCGCGAATTCCGCAACAGAATTCCATTTTTCAATCGACGCAAAGCGAAATTCTACGAACAAC